TACAACATAGTTAACCCAAACATAAATAATATAATGAATAAATAATTTTGAAAAAATGGCATTTTTGTAAAGATTGTAAAAAGATGGCATTTTTGTAAAGTGGCAATTGAAAAGTAGCATTTTTGAAATTTTTCTTCTATTATTAATCTTAAGAAATTATAAAACCGAACCAATTTGTTTCCTAGCATGTGAAATTAAACTATAGCATTAGTTATAAATCATGCAAGTTCACATGGTGAAGAATAAACAAAAGAAGCACATACATAATTTATGACTTCCCGACTTAGGGTCATATATATAAGACTAAGAAATTGTCATTAATAAATGAAAGAAGTACTCTAGACTTTCTTGCAAAAATAAAAACATTTTTCTGTTTTGGCGTAACTAATCATCAAATCAACCAAAAAAGGATTTCATAATCTAGACTTTCTTGCAAAAAAAAATAGAATTTTATAATCTAGGTTCAATATTATTTTGAATTTTTTAAGAAATTTCTAAGGCTATGAGAACTCTAGCTCCGTAAAATTGAATTAACATTACCGGTTCTTGATCAGATCACATAATGGGAACGAAACAGAGAATACAATCTTTATACAATCATTACTCAAAAACCTTCCCCAAACCAACCTTAAGGAAATGAAATGATCTCCACTCTTGAAATTTTGCGAAACTGTATTACGAATAATCGTTGCTTGGTATGAAGCAGAAGCATATGAAAATGTACGAGAGTAATTAATGTGGAGTTAAAATAGATTTCAAAGCAAACAAAAAGTGAAATTCAATATTCATACGAAGTGACCCATAATGAGTTTTAAGTGATCTATATAATCTCTCTATTCTCTCTGCCAAAATATTTTAACTTGAAACAACAAAGACAAGAACACAAGGATACTAGATGACGAATGTTTCGAAGATTTTTAGATTCAAGCATCTTCAGCACTCGGAGAGTTCTCAGGTGTCTTCAAAGGAGCTGCTGCTGCTTCTTCTACAACGGCGGGTTTACTCTCTTTATGTTTTTCGATAACTGCTCGGAACTCTTCCACCACAGTTGGATCCTTGAACTTGAGTGCGAATGTAGAGAGACCGTTCTTGGCTTCACTTACACTATTCACACAAGCAAATGTGATTCCTTTCTTATCCATGCTTGCCAGTTTCATTTCCGGGTACAGACTTGCGTTTAAGATCAACCTGTAGTTTCCTTTGGATCTCATTACTAACCTGGCTTTTCTGTTCGCAGTCGTCGATATGTTTACCTTGACTTCTCCTTTCCCACGCTCTTTCCAGCCTCCTTCGAGATACTCAAACATTACTGAATCAGCAGTGAAAGCCGCTTTCTCATTCTCTTCTCCTGTTTCCACAGAAACCTCTTCCTTTGATGGAAAGGCGGTAGTGGTACCTGCGCTCTTTGTGGTAATGGAAGAAGAACCAGATGTACTGAAAAGAGAAGACTTTCCATTGTTTGGCAGGCCAAAGCTAAAGGATGACTGTTCCGTCAGAGACCCAGAACCAGAGCCAGTCGAACCTTCCTGTGGAACCACACCGAATGAGAACGACAAAGCAGAGAAACCTGTGCTTGCAAGTCCGGTGAATGCGTTTTTGCTACTTGAATGCTGATGGAAAGAGCTCAATGCTCCACTATCTCCGTTCTTCTCTGTGTCTTCTTTTCCATCACCTTCTTTTCCCTCCTTCTCAGTCTGATCAGCGCTTGAATCCTTGTCAACAGAGTCAGTCCCCTTATCGGTGTTGCTGTTGTCATCTTTGGCCTTTTCAGTCTCTTCCCCAGCAGCATCTTCGGTTTTTGTGGTTGTGTTTGTCTCTTCTTCAATCTTGTTTTCAGCTCCACCATCCTCTCCGGTATCAACTGCTTCACTCTTGTCTTTCTCGCCACCAATAATTTCCTTGGTTATATCAGATCTTCCATCATCCTTGGCTGTCTCTTGTTTTCCCTCAGATGGAGTAGATTTTGAATCAAGCAGAGGTTTAATCGTCTCTGCAGGAGCAGGAGCAGGTGCAGTAGGGACCAAACGAATTCCAGCAAACGGATTGGATGCTGGTGGTGGAGCTGCTGCAGATGGATCTCTGCGCTTAACTCTGACAATTCTTCTGCTTGCCAACACCTCCTCACTTGCAGTCTTGAAAGTACCACTCTCGAGTGCAGATGAGTCTTCTTCATCATCAAGACCAGGATTATCACGAGAAATCTCCTTCAAAGCAGCTCTCTTTTTGGAAGGTTGCTGAGCATTTTCTGAATCCCCCATTGCAACGTCGAGAGAATCGAATCTCAATCAATACAAGCAAGGTGAAGTACCTACAACACGAGCAAGAGATTTACCCAATTGTGCTAAGATCCAAAATAGCCAGAACCAATCTTGGGGATAAGGAAGTCCTGAATACATAATATCCAAAGCATCCTTCTAAAGCTAACTCACAAACCTAAAAGGCAAGTGAGTCTACATGATTAACCTTTTGTAAGCAATCAGAGATTAGCCATAGAAAATGCATAATTCTAAAATCTAGTAATAAGCCTGAGCTAAAGTGTCACTGCAATGGAAATCGACAAGTTCAACAGAGCCCTGAACAAGAGGTGTGATAAGCAGAAGGAAGAAACCAAAGAAAATTAACACTTGGAGAAAGGATCAGGTACTAAGATGTTGTCTAATGGACGCATCAACAGTAGAACAACAAAATCTAGAGGCAAGAACTAAGCAACACAGCGAATATACGAGTACACACCAAAACCCTAAAAACTATCAGAATTTACAGAAGCAGAACACAAAAATCGGAATCCGAAAAGTAGGAGCTGATTCCAGAGACGCGCACAACGATAATCTAGTAGGAAAATCCAAAAGAAGCCGTATAACGAAGAAAACCCTAAGAACGAGAGCCAGGGAGAAGAGTATATTAAATAAAAGGGAATAGAGAATCCAGATTCGGCCGGACAAAGAGAGACCAGCGACGAGGAAGCGAAGAATCGGAGGAGACTTACCGACAAGCAGAAGAAGGAGCTACTAGTAAAACCCTGACGCCGGAGCCAAAGAGAAATCGCCCAAGAGAATGATAGATCAAAGGGGAAAAGAAAGAAAGGCACATAAATCTGAGAAATCGAAAGCGCCGTTTTGAAAATAAAATAAAATAAACCACATGGATACATTTATTTTCAGAAATGGTAATAAATCGATTTTATGTGATTTTTCTGTTCTGATAATTAAAGAAATGAGAACATTACGATTTTTCTGTACATTACGATTTCATTGGAAAAAAAATTTGAATTAACTTTTTTCTTGTTTGATGAACTGATTTAATTTCATGATGAGAAAGTTGTGTTTAATTAAAGGTTAGCAAGAAAAGAAAACAAACTTCCAAAGAATTATTTATACTAGGACTCAAACCCTCACGAAATCGCGGGAACAAAAGAACTCTCAACTAAACTTTTTTTTTTTAATTTTCGCGAATAAAACCAAAGATATAATTTATTTTCAAAATACATACGAATATACAATCATCTTTAATAAATTTTAAAGCATGATTACAATCAATTCTCAAATCGAGGCAACATAAACCAAACTTATGAAAACTATATAATAACAAACCAATCAAAATTAGTAATATATTTCAAAAAAAACATAAAAATACTTTGAAACAGAAAGAAAATAACAAGAAAAAGTGACGAACAAAAACAATGATTTAATAACACAATTCCAATATGTAGTAATAATCATAAAATATTTTTTTTCCAAAAAAACGTGACCCAGTGATTTAATAATAACCATAAAACGGATTTTTCGATATACCGATGACTATAAAATGGTCCTAAAACTGTTTTCTCAAAAAATACAACCTATAATAGAGAAAATAAAAGATGTGACGTTGTAATACACGGATAATTATAAACAGATTGTTTTTAGTAAAACATGATCCTAAGAAATAACTATAAAATTGTTTCGATAACGTTATAAAAAAAAAGTTGACCGAAAATCTTTAGTTGAGAAATAAATGATATTTTTGTTAAAATTCAAATACAAGCTAAACCATACATAGTCATCCATAATAAATTATGTTTGACTTTATCTACGATCATTCACAAATATAAATTATTTGGAAAGTGATTTGTGAGGGTTTATTTAATATTAGAAATTAAAACACAGTTAAAATCTCTTAACTATAATTAACGTTTTTAAAATTTGTTTTATATAGAAAAATTGAATAAAATTAATCNGCGTACAAAAAATTATTTAGTTTATATTTATATGTATAAAGTAGTTATTCTAATGAAAAGGTGTCATTTGAAGAGTTGTAACTTTTTAATTAGTAGGTAGTTATTTTTATTTTAATGAAAAGTCACCATTTAAAGAGTTGTAACTTAGACATGTGATTGTTAATATAAAAAAGATAAAATATTTAAATTACATTAAACTAAACTAATTAAAAAGAAGACTATTTTAACTCAAAAAAATGTTTAATAACATTGCTGTAAAAAAATATTAAATAACATTAAATAAAAATGATTTGTAATTTTAAAATGTATTAACAGAATCGTAAAATTAGATTATATATGTAAATTATACCGTCAAGAGTATTGGTTTTCTACTACACATCAAAGTTTTATTCAAAACTGTAGTTATGAAATGGTTAAAATAATTACGCGTTTGAAGAAATTAGTTGTCATTACACATCAAAGTGGAAATTGGTTATACTTTTGGAACCTTGTGGATCCGTCTTTTGTAATTGTCATCATTTACCCATTGACAAAAAATAAACTTAACTAGACACTGGGAAAAGAAATCCAAAAGAAAAAGTTATCGTATACCTATTATGAATCTAAAACCGAGAAACCTTTTGTTCTGGCTTGAGTAACCTAAGTAATATTTTTTTTTGGTCAAAAAGGTGAAATTATCATTAAACCGGAATTAACCGGGTTGGTACAGAGCTTGGTTCAAGGCTGATTTAGCAAGTTGATGAGCCTCGACATTGTTTTTTCTCTGAACATAAACAAAGGTTACATAATTGAAATTGAAAGAGAAGATCGAGATATCTTGAAGAACTCCGTAGATCTCGTTGTTCTCGTTCTTCTGGTTGATTAAACGGATCAGATTCTGTGAATCTGATGCTAATCGTACGTTCCGCCAGCCTTTGTTCACTGCTTGTGTTAGGGCTTCGCGAACCGCGAAAGCTTCCGCCATTAACGGTGAGGAAGTGAAAGGTTGAATCAGAGAGCCTTGGTCGATGATTCGGTTAAGAGGGTTCCTGGCGATCCAGGCAAGACCTGCAATTTTTGAATCGGAACGCCAGGCTGTGTCTGTGGAAAGGCGAAAAGTCTCAGTTCCCGTTTCGCGATCGATGCGCTCCAAGCTTGGGAGAGTTGATTTTGGCTCAGGGTCCTGGCCCAGTATCCACTCCCTTGTATCCACAGTAGCCTTGTTGATTTGTTCTGGCCTGAGTAACCTAAGTAGCCAAAAACAAAAAAAAACTTATAAACATTGTACTTGTTTTTTAATGGTAACCTAAGTAAACAAAAAGTCTCCAACATGTTTCTGTTAAATGATCACATACAAAAACATGACTATTCCATCTTAAATTCCTAATCATATTTTTTGTATCGAATGTTCGNANACGTTAATGGCAACAACCTTAAACCATAGTACTTGAAATCTAAAATGATTTAAATAACAAGGCATGTAAATTTAAACACATATTAACCGATAACATATCATTTGCCACTGGGAGTTTTTGGAGTTATGTGAGAAAAGCAATTATAGTGATAGTGATAGTGATACTTAACCTTCTCTCTCTCTTCGCCTGAGGGATATAATGTAACACAAGTGCATCGGGACACGAAACAGACCCGCCAAAGTTCAGAGTGATGGACAATCTGCAAGATTTTGCTGATTTAAAGAAGGGTCGAACTTATCTCTTGTATAACAGTCTAAGAAAAAGAATATCAAAAAATAAACGCAGTTGAATCTGTTATTGAAAGAAACAAAAATATCATACGGAGTTTGATTTCAAACTCTTAACTTGAATTATGGGAAATATTCATGATTAACAAATTGTTCAACGGAGAAAGAGATATATATGACAACCATTAGCGATTAGTTTGAAAAGACCCAACCTTCAAAAATAACCATTAGCGGTTATTTTGAAAAGACGCAATTCTTGACACAACAGTTATAGTGAAAAGACGCAAATGTCAAAACGGTTATATCGAAAATACGTAACTATTCGTAATAACCACCAAACAGTTTTTTTATGAAAAGACGCAACACTTGAAAAAACGGTTTAAACGAAACAATGCAACTCTTGAATATAACCATAAAGCGGTTTTGTCGAGAAGACGCAACCTTACAAAATAACCGTAATGCGGTTTTATCGGACTCTATAGCAAAATATATAAATAAGAGATGGTTTTCCAAAGAGCCGCGATAAAAAATATTCATTTGCAAAATATTCTTAGAGGTGAAAATAATAAATGAATTGTAGAACCAATAAAAATTTTTGTTAAATAAATGCAAAATAATAGAATGACGTTTTGAATAAGCCTTAAGTTTTGAGTAATTTGTAGAACCAATAGCCATGACAAAAGAAAAAGGATGAACAAAACAAAGATCAAAACATTCACGAAAAGAAAGAACAAAAGAAAACAGATTTTTGATAGAACGTTTATTTTTTAAAAATTATAATTTTTAGGAATAACCACCATTCAGTTATCATGAAAAGACGTGACTATTGACGTAAGAAGTAACCACCAAATGGTTATTAAGAAAAGATGCAATTATTGACGGAACGGTTATATTAATATCTTAAAAACACGAAAATCTTAGGAAGTAACCACCAAACGGTTATACCAACGAGATAAAATATATATATATAGGCGAAACGGTTTGTTTCGAAAAGACGCAGCCCTTACAAATAACTATACAGCGGTTATGTCGAAAAGACGCAATTCTTGACAAAACGGATATATCGAAAAGACGCAACTTTTGACAAAACGGTTAGATTGAAAAGGTGCAATTTTTGGAAATAACCCCCAAACGGGTTTTTTTTACGAAAAAACAATCTTTCGACAAGACGCAACCATTAAAAACAACCACT